CGTAATTATTCGACCCATTTTGCTTGTAATTCTATCGAGTATAAAGGCTGCTTCTATTTGAGGTTTAAAGAAACGTAAATCAAGAGCGGCTAGCGCAGTGAATGCGGATCAGTTTTCTAGAGTATGATTTTACCCAACCTGTTTCTCCAATCGTAATCCCGCGATGTAATCGAACGATTTTAAACACGGCAAGGAAAACGAACAGATATCAGTGAGAATCTGTGAGCATCGACGAAGAGAGAAGTGTGTTTTTGTGCGATCTTTGAGAGAAAAGTATCGAGAAGTGACGGTAACAGATTGTGATAGGTTGAAACAAGAGAATAGCGTAATAATTGCCAAGTTTCTTTCAATGTTATATGTATGCAGTTCTTAGTACGAAGGAAAATGTAAGACGAAATTCCAAGGAAGTCGCTACTTCGGAAGTTCTTACTTGTGGAACACTTTGGTGAACTGTATACTCGACGAATTCTGTCGCGTTAATTCAAACACTGTGCAAGCTGAAGGGAAACCAAGGTGAAATTATGCAAATTCGGACATTGGAAATCCGACCGTCAGCGAATATCTCGTTGAATAAAAACCTGGCTCCGGGGATGCAAATTTAACTGTAATATTTCGCCGAGTCGCTAATTCCTCAGCAATCGTGGAATCTCGCGATTCTGGTGTCCGGTGGAACAGTGATGCACCGAGTGTTCGTAGATTTTTTTAAATAATGTATTTTACTGGGTATTTTTATCATTATTCGTATTATTACAACGTATAGAAATATTGCAATATTCGTTTTGCACCCTTTTACTGAAGCGCAATACAAAATTATTCAAATCGAACCGTATTTGGTACCATTTTCATTGGAAATGCTTCAGCAACTTGATCGACCCTTAACTTCAAAACATGTGTCTTTAAATCGTTAGTATAATCGTTGTCTGCCGATTTTATTTATTGAATCACAAATTGGCGCAATTCAAAATTATTCAAATCGGACCGTATTTGGTACCATTTTCATTGGAAATGCTTCAGCAACTTGATCGACCCTTAACTTCAAAACATGTGTCCTTAAATCGTTAGTATAATCGTTGTCTGCCGATTTTATTTATTGAATCACAAATTAGGAATTTTAAAAAAATTGAAATTTTAATTTTTATGGAAATAATGCATCTACTTGTAAATTCAAGATACACGAAGGAAAGTACTTGAAAATATCCATAATGTTGTCATAGTGAAACAAATATTCAGAGGCAAAAATTAAAATAATCCCTTAATTACAAAGTAAAAAAAAACTAAAAATTGTATTCTTCTTATTTTGGTGATTCATTAATAATTGAATTTCCACCAATCACAGGTCACAAAGAAGCAGTTCCGCGACAGTTAAGCGGGCAAAACTGCGCCACTTAAGTGAGCCCTACTATGAAAACCTATTCAAAATGAAATTTCTACCCGAAAAATATCTGAACCACAATTTTCCGAAAAATTTCCCAAAAAACATCCCTCGAACACTCTCCATTTCTAAGAAACCAAGTGCACCACAAATAAGCAACACTGCCCGAGGCTCCCCCCGGCGAGATCGCGCGTATTCACGAGCAATCAGCGTGTCGGCTGCATGAAAATGAGCGTCGGATTAAACGTGCAAATCCAGGCTGGACCAATCGAAAAATCAATCCCCGAAATCAATTCATCGCAAACGAAACGCGAGAGAGCGAAAAAGAGAGGGAGAGACACTGAAAGGCGTGGCGCGGCGCGCAGCACACGTCAACAGGGAGAAACCGTATTACGGACGCGGAAAGCGTATTTCGCGCGGCGCGGACCGGTTCAAAAATAGCGGAAACCGTCTGGTTAAACGTTGCTAGAGAGTTAGGAAGGCTGTCTCGTGTGCCACGGATTCCGTGTGCGTCTCGTGGCTGCGTTGCGTTATGTAACGTAACTACGTGGTGTAACGGGGCGGTTGGCGGTGTGGGCTTTTACATTGTCCGTTTCTGTGCCACGCACCACCTCTTCTTCCCTCCCGCTGCCGTGCTTTCGTCGCTTGGGGACAAAAAAAAATCGATACCCTCTCTCTTTCTCTCTCTGTCTCTCCCTATACGTACATACACATATATACCATCATCCCCTCGCATGTGTGTCTCCGGGTTCTGTGCGCCCCGTGTGTACCGAGTTCTCTGGCTGTTCCTGGCGCGCGGCAAAAAGGTGTACAAGCGAGTAACAAAGCCTACGGTTTTTTTACGTTTATGCACATTTCCGCCCCTCTGACGACTAGCCCTCCCAACAGACGAAACACACACGCGTCGACGACGACGACGTCGCTGTAGAGAGCGAGAGAGCCATAGAGAAATTGACCAGTGACTATGTATGTGTGAGTGTTTAGCGAATGTACAAATAAATTGGAGGAATGGTGAAATCGATTAAGTGTATGATCGAACGTTTTCCTTTGATCAGAGGTTTGATGACGATGTTTCTGGTGTGTGGTAGATATATACTAGAGGTATACTCGAGAGGATAAGGAAATTCGTTGGCCAAAGAGAGCTGTTGTAGATTCAACCAGGGTTGCGTACCTACTACCCCTTTGCGAAAGATTGTTCTTGCTCGACAGAGAGCAATCGCGCTGTTTGCACCATGTTTGCTTCCATTTGCTCTTGGCCAAGCACGCCTCGCGGTCTGCGTTGCTTCTAATTCGGGGGGAAGTCGAGACGTGCTGTATGCGGATTCTGAACAACGCCTCCGTTTTCGTCTAATGACCGGCTAGTCGCAATTGCTTTCGCTTCAGCCTGGGATGCTTCTTGAGGAGTCGGTGACTTCTTTCTTTTTTTGGAGATTTTCTCATGGATTTTCAGGTGAGGAATTTTCGAGAGATTAAAGTTGGGTGTGAAAAGGCTTTACTTTTTGATCAAGAATTTTATAGAATGCTTCTTGGAGGAACAGTAATTTTTTGAAAGATTCTCTGATGAATTATGAAATAAAGAATTTTGTAGGATTCTCAAGATCAGGTGTGCAGGTGATTACGAAAATAGTCTAAATTAAGAATGCAAAAAAATTCAATTTATCATTTATTTCACGTTGCATTGATTTTCTCATTTAGAAAATTTACCAACTAGCTACAATATCGTAACTATTAATAGATTTATCCCGTACAATAAATAAACAATCTATCCCACAAGTGAATTTCCATAGTACAAATGAAACATTTAATCAGAGTCCCCAGGGATACTCCGAAAACCGACCAATTTCCAATGTAACACAATTCACAAATACCCAGAGATCATTCCCACTATCTCTCCTCGCTGTTCAACATTCACAGTTCCATCTGCGCGATGACCTAACTAACCACCCGGAATTCGAAAAAATTTCCAATATAATACAAAATCCACCAAAAGTTTCCAAACTGAGATTGCAAAAACGATCGATCTCCTTTTTTTAATTTAAAAAATTTCAGAAACCTTGCCAACTTACTTAGCTACCTATCGTCTCTACCGTCTTCCATTTCATCAAGACAAATTTCCATCAACTTTCGTCACACACTGTACAAATTCACAAATCACAGGGAAACTTTTCCCTTTTCAATTTCGAACATTTTAATCATTTCACGTCTATCAGAAGGATTGGCAATTTACGATGTTACCCTTTCCGTTTCACCGTCTTCCATTTCACCGCGATACATTATTATCTGGAAGTCGAGGGACAACCGAGAAATACCCAGAGATCGTTCCCTCGCTGGAGAAACTTTCCTCAGAATCTGTTTCATCTGCACGATGACCCGGCTAACCACCCTCTGTCCAAGTAACAAATCAAAAGTTCGCGAGTGACGAGAGGATCTAGTGAACCGTTTCGCTTTCATACACTTGGCGGGACGACGGTGGAAGAACGGCCGCAAGAGGTTGGTTCGCGACTTATAAATCACGCGGACAATCGGGGTTAGTACAGACACCCTTGGAAACCTGTTCCACCGAGCGTCTCGTACCGCTATTGTTCCGCTCCATTTCGAACTCTCCTGACCCGCTGTATATAGAAAAGGGTCGCGCCTAATCGCACGTATCACGCATGTTAATTAACAGACCGAGCCCTTTTGTACGCCGCGAACAACCGCGCGAGATAACCGTAAATTGCTTTCAATTTAACACGCGACCAGGGACGATCATTTGTCGCAGAGGATCGCCGAGTGTGCGAGCTCGTCACCTTCGTCCAATGACGCGTTTTTTTTTCCCTTCTTTTTCTTTTTGTGTAAGCGGAGAGATCGTGTGCTACGCGTAATGCTATTAGAATGCGGCTGTTTTGGGAAAGGTAATTTTAACGACGTGGGAATGTAATTTTAGAAATTTTTTGTTATCGTTGAGTGACTTTTTAAGTTTATCACTGAGGAGATTTGCGATGTGGGATCGAAATAATTTTTGAGATATTTGGATTTCTAAGATTTTTGGGACGTGGATTACAAAATTTTTGGGATATGGATTTCCACAATTCTTGGGGCCTGAATTTCCCAAATTTTTGGGACGTGACCTTCCAAAATTTCTGAGATGTGGCTTTCCAAAATTTTTGGGACGTGGCTTTCCAAAATTTCTGGAACGTGGCTTTCCAAAATTTCTGGGACGTGGATTTCCACAATTCTTGGGACGTGGCTTTCCAAAATTTTTGGGACGTGGATTTCCAAAACTTTTGAAAAATTTATTCTTAAGATCTATGATTATTTTTTAGATGTATATTCTTGACGTTTAAGATTATTTTTAAGATATTTATTCCGAAGATTTTAAATTTATTTTAGGATATTTAATTAAAAATTTTAATTACCGCTTGTTAAACGAACTCTCGTCAGAGAATGGAACAGAATAAGATCTATAATTGATGTTTGAAGGAGTTTGCATTAAATACGACATAAAAGACCTAATTTGTGTTTGCTTTTCAGTGAACATCAGCGACTTTGTCCACTCCTCGTACACGCTCTACTCTCTAATTGTGCGAGCAAAACAAAACGAAAGCTCGCAATAGGATTAAATTAATGAGATAAATGAAGTACTCACCTATTTTTCTCCAGCTCGTTATGAGTCGTCCTGCAATGGAAAAGAACGTTCTTGTTAGACTTCAAAGCGGTAAAATCGTTTGCTTTAGCGGTGGTAAGAAAGGTAAGGGCGGGGGGGAAAAAACAACGGTTTCAAGTCCAGACGAAAATTAAAACCGAGCAAGAATAAAACGCCCCATTACGCGTAAACGTTCTCTGTTTAACCGGACGTAATGTGCAAACTTTTCAAGAATGAAATTTTATTTCACAAACCATCGAGAGTTTATTATATGATAAACTTGATTACGATGGACTTGATAATTCGAGGATAATTCAAGGAAGTAATATCATACTAAATATACTATCTGGAAGTATTCGACGAAAGAGCATTGATAATTGAAAATTTGAGAAATTTTGAAATATAATATTTGAAATTTTGAAATTAAAAGTTTTTTACATATACTAATTTAACATTTGAAATTTCTTAAATTTCAAAATTTAAAAGGACAACATTTGAAATTTTTTTAAATATAATATACCAATATTTGAAATTTTTTTAAATTAAAAATTGTTAATTTCCCCTTCGTAAATTCGAAAAAGGCTAAAGTCGATTGAAATTGCCACGAGATGAACGCGTGAGACTGAAGTTAAACTCAAATGGCAATTTCATGGTCAACGTTGATTCTCTTTTGGTTGACGAGCACTCGTGGAACAAGTTCAATGACCTCATCACATAGTCATTCGAGACACAAACATACGATGAAACGATCTTTGCAGTATATACATCTTGTATCAACGCCGCTCAAAACAGACGCTCAAGGTATCGACCTTGAGAGCATGCTGATAAGATACGTTTTCGACATCGTTTTGTTACCATTTTCCTCGAATCACTATGTGCGATAAATCATCGAGCACGCCTCCACTTAAAAACCTTAATGTACAACGATATCTCACGGAATATTTCAAATAACCTACACTTAACTGAGCGATAAATTCATCGAAACACCCAACGATCCCATAATTATTCCAAATTAATCTTTCTCTATGTCCATAAATTTCCCTAATGGCTATCAATGAAAAATCGAATACTTTATCTACGGTAACTCGAACGGAAAAGAAAATTCTAATTGAAGACAGAATTACCATTTCTGATAAGAAATCTCTGATTGGACGTACTAACACAAATCTGATTAAACCTATTCATATCTCGCGTGAAGTTAAGCATTTTTAAAATACAATATTTTGTCTAATTTATAACTTACTATTAACCCTTTGCAATCGAGTGAGAAGCGACATTAAGTAATCGTCACATGGTAAATAATTGATCAAATCAGAGAGCAGATCTACGGGATCTCTAGAAATTTGATTGCCATAGTGAAATAGAGAATACGTTCAATATTTAAATAAAATAGTACAGTTTGTTTTAACGTTAATTTTAAAATATTTCAAAGATCCGATTTGCAAACTTTCCAATTTGCAAAGGGTTAACACTTGAAATTTCTCCACTTTTTTCAAGCTCAATAACAAAAATTGTTTGAAAACCACATCTCCTTCCAATTAATTTTCGCTGTTAAAGAAAAATCAAACACCTTCATTTTCAAAAATAAAAAAAATTGAAAAAAACATATGAAGAACGAAGGAAGCTCGAGAGAACCGCGACTAAAAGCTACATACAGAATGATGTTCATAAGTATACCAACCTGCTGCCCTGGGATTTTTTCGTCTTTGGCCTTTTTGTGACCGTCCGCATATCATCGGGCATCGGCATCGTCGAAGCGTAGCCATGTTCAGCTTCTGCAATGACAAACCAATCGGTCGTTTGAGTCGTGGTCCCGATGCGGTTCGCATCGCGCGAATTCCAAAAGATGCCGCGCCGCCGGCTTGAAAAAAGCGCGCGCGCGGCGAACACGACTCGTTAAAGCGCGCGTACACACGGCCGTGCTGGAATAAAGTCACGTTCCGTTTTGCCGACATAACTTACTGCGGCATTAAAGCTTCGCCTGCACGCCCAACCCCTCTCTCGCTCTCTTTCTCTCTTCCTTCTTGTCTCTCCTCTCGCAATCTCTCTTTCTTTCCCTCGCTCTCTCACCTTCTCACTCTGTCACTTTTTCTCTCCCTTTCTCACTCTGTCTCTCCTCTGTTTCTCTCCCTTTCTCACTCTGTCTCTCCTCTGTTTCTCTCCCTTTCTCACTCTGCCTCTCCTCTCTCAATCTCTCCTCCTCTGTTTCTCTCCCTTTCTCTCGTCCTCTCACCTTCTCACTCTGTCTCTCCTCCTCTGTTTCCTTCTCTAGCTTTTTCTCTCCCTTTCTCACTCTGTCTCTCCTCTGTTTCTCTCCCTTTCTCACTCTGCCTCTCCTCTCTCAATCTCTCCTCCTCTGTTTCTCTCCCTTTCTCTCGTCCTCTCACCTTTTCACTCTGTCTCTCCTCCTCTGTTTCCTTCTCTAGCCTTTTCTCTCCCTTTCTCACAACTTTCTTCCTCTCGCTCTCTCACCTTCTCACTCTGTCTCTCCTCTCTCAATCTCTCCCTTTCTCACTCTGCCTCTCCTCTCTCAATCTCTCCTCCTCTGTTTCTCTCCCTTTCTCTCGTCCTCACACCTTCTCACTCTGTCTCTCCTCCTCTGTTTCCTTCTCTAGCCTTTTCTCTCCCTTTCTCACAACTTTCTTTCTCTCGCTCTCTTACCTTCTCACTCTGTCTCTCCTCTCTCAATCTCTCCCTTTCTCACTCGGTCCTTCTCTCTCACTCTCTGTCTCTCCTCTCAATCTCCACTTTCTCTCTCTCGATCTCGCGCCGAACGGAGAAAAAGGTACAGAGCGAGAGAGAATGAATCGACCTCGAGATGCGAGCGAGGGCTCGAAAAGCGCGGAATTTATGTTACGATTTCAGTTAACGCGCGCCGCGTGTTCCACGGAGAGGCCCCGGCCGCTACGAACGACACACACGCCGCTGACCTCGAATAAATTCGAAAATGTAACAATGCGCGAACGAGCTCGCGACCGTCGAACCGTGCCACCGCCAATTTACGAGCTACCGCGAGCCACGAATCGCTTAGCTGGAAAGAGAAGGAGGAGGTCCAAACAGGGTTCAATCGTGTTTCGGATGGAATGAAGAAGAGCCTGGCGAGATCATCGAGAGATACTTTTTGCGAGATATGAAGAACGAGGGATTCGGCGGTTCTTGGTGATTTTTCAAATGCTCCCGCAAGATTTGTATCGTTGCTCGGGAGAATCAGATTTTATGGATGCATATTTTATCGATGTTACGGATATACGAGGTTTCAAATAAGCCTGAGGATTCTGGAACGATTTTAATGATTTACTGGACTTGGAGTGTTCATGGTGTAGTATTGGGTCGGGTAATGTGAAATGTTGCGATTTTTGGTTGCTTGATGAATTTGCATGTAATTCGCTCGTTTAAATAAATGATAAAACACCTCGAATTTTCTTTTTTATCTGATATCTGAAGAGTACAAGTGCCGTTCATATGAAAGCTGAGTTTGAAAACAAACAAAAATGTACCCAAAAATGCACTCTATACGATTTCACGACCAAATTACTTTTTTCTTTAATTTCTTATTTATCTGTCGATCATCACGTCTGAAATGGGTACTAAACTGAGATCAATTTTTATTCGAGCACTCGAATGGAAAATATGCGTCCCGAAAGGGTTAAATCAGCTACTATGTCACCTAACACGAAATACCAGAATACTTCACGAAAGATTGAAAATAATTTTTTACCATTCCACCAAGAAGAAACTCAAAAATTTCGGTTTCAAGAATTTCCTACGCACACGAAAGGAGCAACTCGCGAGACCTCGTAAGAAAGCTACCCCATCCGAGGAACACAACGCAGCGCGATAGCATGAAATTCGAGAGATACCAGGAGAAATCCATCAGCACCGACAATTTTCCAGCAGTCCAGCCGAAGGAACGCCGGTCGTTCGCGTGGAATGCTAAAACTGTTTGCTTAGAAAAGTGAAATCCCGCGAGAAGAGACAGACCGTGCGAGAGCAAACTCGGCGCGGAGGTTGGCGCGGCACTTGGCATTCCCTTTATTCCCCCTTTAGAAATTCTTCCGTCGAGCGACAAAACAACGTTACAAAAATAGCCTTCGGTGTAATTTATCACGAAAATTGCTCTCGCAAACTCACACACACGCGCAATCTCTCAGACTGTCCTCCAGCATCGGGACGAGAAATTGATATTATGTAAGGTGGGACGAAGTGTACAAGGGGTGTGTGTAGCAAGCAGCAAAGGTAAAGGACGTGATGGGCAAAAACTGTGCTGCTCGTCGTTCCTCGGACGACGACTAGTCTCACCATAACGAGTGGTGTAAATTATAAATGCCTCCTTTTGCCGTGTCTTTCGTCCGATCCTCATCATCGTACAACAGCCTTAATGGCAGTCGGTGAAAAAGAACACACGCGTTCGCTCTCCGGCACTCGGCGGAGCGAACGAGCGAGCGAACCAACGACACACCATCGACCATCTGTCCTCGTGAAAGAAGAAAAGCGTCTCGCTCGCATGCCATGACCATAAGGCCACCTCATGCAAAAGAGAAATTCGCCTGGGTGAATAGAGCACACGGGCAAACTTACGCGCGCACGCGGATAGAGGAGGAGGAGGAGGAGGAGAGACCTTATGGAACTCGTTTGCGGATTCATAGAGAGAGAGAGAGAGAGTTGAGCAACCACTCTGGTTTCCAAAAATTCGAACAAAACTACGGCCCCCCAACGGTGTTTTGCGTGGGAACCTTTCGAACAATGGTTCTTCAGAAGAATGAGAGTTTTCTGTGTGCTTTTTAGTTTTTAGACGAGAGCAAACGAGCAGGCGAAACTTGTCGATTGCTTTACATGTACATACCCCGGTATATTGGGGTTTGATCCCTTTGATGATTTAGTTCGCTCATTATGGAAACTTTTGATACACCGAGTGTTTGTGAAGTGTTTAGGCAACTTGAAGAAGGGTGAATCTGCGTTGGTGAGAGAATAAGTCGAAATGGCTTTATGAATGCGGGAATATTGCACTATTTCGGTGATTATGGAGACTTTTTATATACAGGGTGGTCGTGAAGTGATTATACAACTTAATAAAAAGTGAATTTAGATATGTGAAAGGATTAATCGAAATGACTTTATGAATGCCTCCGGATATTGGATTATTTCACTCGTTGCGGACATTTCTGATGTACAGGGTGTTCGTGAAGTGACGGCACAAGCTGAAGAAAGATGAATCTACTTACATACGTGAAAGCATCAGTCGAAATGGCTGCGTACATGCGGGAGTATTGAATCTGATTACTTGGATGATTTATTTCGTTCATTATAGAGACTTCTGGTATACAAGGTGTTTATGAAGTGATTACACAGTTTGAGAAAGGGTGAATCTTCGTTCACATGAAGGAACAAGTCGAAATAGCATCATTCGTGCGGGAATATTGTGGAGATTTCTGATATACAGAGTGTCTCTCGAGTGAGATCGAGTCTAAATTTACAGTGAGACTTCTCATACGAATCTTCATTTCTGAATAAATCGACGTCGAAGATCACATCAGACAGTGAAGGATAAACGAAATAAAAGTAAGAACCATCACGATCTCTGGAATTATGGAGTCACGTCATGTTTCTTGTCTATCACGATGACGATACAAGTAGGTAAAATATTATCCTTGCATTGAATCTTCGACGTCCATTTAAAAAAATCTTACTCTACATTCCCAACCTATTTTTCCATGCAGATTCACTCTTTCTCGCATTATAACACAGACACGCTGACTTCCTCCATAAGACTTCCACAAACTCATCTCCTGTATTACAAAAACTTCTCGTTTACCCAAAAATCGAGGCCAACAAGGATCTCCTTTTTTCTCTACACCGCGAAACCTGTTACAACGTTAGAAATCGGCGTGTTTCACGCCTGTGACGATCTTTCACCCAGCGACGAGTCCGGAGCACGCGAAATTCCCTCGTCTCGCAACAATCGAAGCGAAACGAACGGAAGGAAAATTTGGAAGAACAAGCGAGAGAGAATTCTCTATCGCGGCGAAGTACGATACTCCGGTGGAACTAGGACCGAGACAAGAGAGAATCCCGGCCAGCGAACTATGAATTAACAAAACATCTCTCTGTCCCTTCGGAGCGGGGAAAATACGCGCGAGAGAGAAGAAGATGATCGTGTGTGCGCTCGTTAGCGGTCACGTGCATTTCACACGGACGCGTCTATCTCCCTTTTATTAAACCACGAAACACGTGTGAAGTTTTTCCCGTTGGCGGTCGAATCGGGAGAAGAAACGCGCCCTTCGTGCCCGGCACGAGGAAGAGAGAGAGAAGCGCCCCGTCGTCGATGAGCACAGCACAGCGGTTCGGAGAATTTCAAAATCCAGGCGAAAATCCTCGAATAACGAAATATCTTTCCGGAGATTCCCTCGCTACTTCTATGTTCATTGTTCAGGAATAACAAACACTTGCGCAAACACGGCTATGTTTGCCGTGCTCACAGCTTACCGGCTTGTTTCAACAACGTTGTTTTCAAGGAAGCACTTTTCTACACAACATTGTTATCTCGAAAATCAGATTACGCTTTTTTGTGATTCTGTTTGCCGTAGACTGTTCACCAGAAGGTGTGTTATTTTTGAAACGTTACATCGAATTATGCGGGAGGGATGAAAGAAATCAGCCGCTGAACGCGACAATTTTTAATCTCCAGTGACTTTGAAATGATATCAAGAATCATTGCAAAATTCTAATTTAATATTTTCTTTGAAAAATGAGACGAAAATGAGAATCCAATTTTTTTACATTTTCTCCAGTCATTCGTGGAAATATGAAATTTTCCAAACGATAATAAAAAAAATAATACAAGATGTGTTTTATATAGGTGACAGAAATGAGAATCTAATTTTTGAAAATTTTCTCGGGTCATTCGTGGAATCATGAAATTTTCGAAACGAAATGTAAGTCGATTTTTCGCACAGTCTGTTGATTCGTAGTATTTTTTTTTTTTTGGCACTTTGACTGTTCCCGATGGAACATCGAATCCCCAAAAGATTTTTCCCAGGATTCGTCACTTTTGAACCACTGTGGGTCGTTGAAATAAAAATTTACGCTCTCTTCAGCCATCTCTATCTTACTCCTTCGTCAACTCTCGTTCTCTTTTTACTCCTTTCTCTCGTCTCCCCTCCACTTTTCAACGTCCCTAACCCTCCTACTATTCCGCGTCCTTTATTCCTCTCTCTGTTTCTCTCCTACAATGCTTCTCCCTCTCCGACGACTGTTACTTCCTTTTTCTTCCTTTTTTTTACGGAAACGAAAAGAAGAGTCAGAAACGCGTCGGTGGAACCGTCAACGGAGCAACCGAACGGCGAACCCCGGTGCGCTCTCTCCTCTGGTCGTCGAGAGGAGAATCCCTCGGAGCGCGAACAATTTAATTCGTCGTTCCATTCGGAGCGCGTAACTCCGCCTCGCGAAATTCGTTAATGCCGAACGCGATATTAGTTTAACGCTCGCTGAACAGACCGGCGCGCTGCAATCACGAAAGCCGATTAACCGCCGTAACACGCGCCACCTCCGTGAATTATTCGGATTCGAGACGCGCTTTACGTCTCGCGATCGAGACTACGGAGAGAGAGAATGGACCGGTCCACGCAGCTTCCACGCCGCTATAGCCTGGGCGAAATCAACTGGCCGCTCAAGGCCACTGGCCCCACTCGCTCGCCCGCAGTAATATTCCGGTAAGTCTGTTACGGTTCGATTAGACAGAGTAACTTCTACGTTTGTTGTGTTCTTCTCTTTTTCGAGGAGGAAACGTTGCGAAAGTACTTTGATGGATTTTTGTTGGGAAATTTTTAAGTGTGTTTTATGCCTCAATATTGACAAAAAGTAGGTTCCTTTCTTTTTTGAAAAGGAAAAATTGTGGAACTACTTTGGTACATTTTTTCAAGCGTGTTTTATGCCTCAATATTGACAAAAACTAGGTTCTTTTCTTTTTCGAAAAGGGGAAATTGCAAAACTACTTCGACAGATGTCTATCACACAATTTCCAAGTGTATTTTACGCCTCAAAATTGACAAAAAATACGTACATCTAATTTCACTGCATTTACCACGCAAACTATATCCAGCCAGACGAAGAAACACTCCCAACTAAAATTGAAAGGGATCTTCAATCTTCGAAATTCTTAGTATCAACTCTAAACCAACATTACTAAAACGAAGAGCCCACGTATGGGGGGGGATAGGTAAGCGAGAGAAGTCGTTCGTAGCGTATTTCGCGGTCAGGGAAGCGGCCTTGAGCGGCTAATAAATTTCGGACAAAGCGTAATGATCGTCGCTCGGTCGGTCGCGTCGGTTCGGTGAACGTTTTTCAGGGAAACCGTGCCAAATAGACCGATTAAAATAACGTAACAGCCTTATCTCGCGTACCCTCGGGCAATAATAGTTAATGCTCGATTGACGATCCGCCGTGATTCCCCCTTGTTCTTCTCTCTCTCATACCCCTCCCCCCTCTCTCTCCGGACGAGAGCGCGGCCAATAAACCGAAAGCTCTTTCTGGGGCCTCTCGACTCGGTTGTGTGTGCCTCGTGAACGGACGCGCGCACACGAGAACGTCCCTCTCACGCTCGCGTGATGCGAGCTTAAACCACGAGAGATCGATGCACGGTAACTCAGAGGATGGGAGGGGAGGGGGTAGAGTATGGGGAGGAGGAGGAAGAGAAAGAGGAGAGAAACAAAGAAGCCGTTCTTTCGGGGTGTTCACTCGAGTACATGTGTGCACTCGTATATACAGTGCATTTCTACATATACGTGTGCATGTGAATGTGCCTCTACGTGACGTTCGCTCCATACCGCACACGGATCTTACAAGGAACAGGAAAGAATTACGACACTGTAAATCTCGGCCGACTATTCGAAAGCGAAACGTGGCGTCGCGGAAAAATGCAAGGCGACAACCGTTTATTGTGATCTGTGTATTTTGGTTATTTACGTCACGCGCGCGGTTTTTCGGCCACCGGTAGAGAGAGAAACATACACACACATAGAGACACAGCCACGCGCGTACACACGGAGAGAGATATCCCTCTCGTAACGTTAGCAGCAGTGGACTATTAGTATCGGTTACGCGGCTGCACGTTCGGTCACGTGACGGGGCACGAATTTCAAAAGAAACGCATAAAAGAAAGGGTGGGGGTGGGAGGGATTGTAGTGGGAGGAGAAACTGATAAAATATTTCAACGAAGCTTGTTTACGAAACAGCCCAATGAATCATCGCACGTTGGACAGGAATGGTCAACGAGATATTTATGCAAATGCGCCTAATAATTCCGTGGCGATAACGAGCTCTCAATTAAAACGCCATTAACGGGTGAATTCTTCCACGGCAAGCCGTCGTGTGTGTCTATATGTACATATATTATATACGAGAGGCAACGTGAACCACACAGACAGACTGGCAAATAAAAACGATCGAATCTATTTAAATAGATAGTATGTATGTAATGTGGGGCACGGCGAAATGCGCAGAGAAACGAAGAGGAAAGAGAGATAACGCGCGAATTCAGCACGCACACCGCGAGCGGTGGAACAGCATCGGCTGCGTCGCAGCGGTATTATAAGTGGAGTGATAAAATGAGATCATCGTTACCGCTTCTCCGAGCGTTCTGTGACGCACACACATGTGAACGACGGGGCTGACGCGACCTACGCGGTACACACACGTACTCGCAGCGCGCACGCTGCACCGCGAAAAAACACCACTCGCCCGCATATATATTTGTCGATGTGTTTACACCGCCCGCCCGTTCGCTGAAAAACGAACGTGCACCGCCGCGACACAGCTCTACAGTGTACGACGCTACAAACACAGCGTTGCGTCAGGGGAGTACACACGTTGGTGAAGGTCACGCGTTCCAAAACGCACGGTTACAGAGTAGAAAAAGAAAAAAAAAAGAAAAAATCTGGGCTCGTCATAGCTGGACGAGAGAGTCACAGTCCGGTTCGATACAGCCGGGGTTTTATCGTTCGGTGGTTATGGATTTAAAGGACATATCCGGAAGGTAGGAGAAAATGATGCAAAAGGAGGAAAATATGACTTTTTTTTTTATATATAACCAGGTCGATTCACAGGGGCAACGACGACGATGCCGAGGGAAGAAAAATATCACGAACGAAGGAGCAACGTAGCGAGTAAAAGCGTAATAACAAAGGTCGCGTTCCGAGATCCAACGACGGCACACGCGCGTTCGTTGCCATGTGCCAATGACATGGCATACACGCACGGATATACAACACGGGCGCAAATCACGGGCGAAACTTCACAGCGATTCGAGAAGTGGAAAAAACACACACAGGAGCGCGCGCACGACGCGTCTCTATGTGTTGTGTATATATGTGTGTATATATACC